CCCCAAAACCCCAAAACCCCAAAACCCCAAAACCCCAAAACCCCAAAACCCCGACACCCTTAAAATAATTTGAAAATAAGAATTTTATTTAAATTAAGAACCTAATGGAGACTTATCTTCAGCACAGTCAGAGGAAAAACAAGAGGAATCCCCAAATAAGACTTTCGCATTTAGATAATGACCTCGTACTAAAAGCCAGGAGTAAGACAATTCTTAGAATTTTTGTAAACAACAGTTTGTCCCTTGAGTGCGGGTAATGGGCAGAACTTAACCCCCAGACTTTTTCTTAGTAGTTTATATTTGTCGTAAAATTTATCAAGCAAAACTGAAATTATACAAAATTAGAGCAAGGAAGGATACCCAACCTTGCAAATGGGTGCTATACAATCTTTGAGCTTAATAGGAGAGAATAGAGAGTTATAATGTATTTATTTGGACCAAAAGCGCCTTTTTCTTCCTCAAAAATGACTCTCATTGCTTGGTATAGATTTAAACAATAGTGCTTTTAATTTCTCAATGAACTCAACCAGGAGCAGGAAGCAGGACAACCTATCTATAGAGAATGTTTTCGGAGCAGTCTCTTCCCTCGATTCTAGAGAAAATACTCGTATTAATGATCAGAAATAAAATGAAGGACAAGTACAAATATTTCGCCATCGATCGTAATCAGAGGTAGTACACCCAAGATCTTATCTGTAGGCCTCCATTCCACTCAGGAGCAAGTTTTTCGAACCAAAATTTCTCAAAAATCAAGAAGACCAAGGCAAAGTACCGTATTGGAAGAGGTAAGTGACTATTATCAAACTCGCCCAAGTATTCATGATTCTTGTTATAGAAAAGTATCTTCATAACAAATCTGATAGATTTGAAATATGATGCCTTGGACACCCATTTAACAAGGAGAATAATTACATTTCAAATGTTTCAAAGCCGAAATTAACTACAAGTTATCAACCAATAAGGCATTCTGGTATTAAATCTCAACAGAAGAAGTCCGTGCTGAACGATCGGACAAATAGGTACTTATTTTGGGGTAATGTTTAGCATAAACAACAAGAAGAATTACTCTGAATCTCATAGCATTGATACTCCTTTTGAGAGGAAGCCTAAGAGAAAACTTAACATGAAACTTCTTGAGAAGAGTTCCCAAGCACCTCAACAGAAGAGGGTTATTAAGAGAAACATACCAAGACCAAAAAGGAAGATACAGAAGGATACTGTGAGGAAAAGTAAAGTTGTTTTAACATAATTAGGCAGTCAAAATTCCAATCTTAGTGCTAGGTTTATCAAAAGTGACAAGTCTCAAGTAACCCAACTTAGCATAAGAAAGGCCAGGTTTATCAGAAGAACACCAAGAGATTATTTAAAAACAAATAAGCGGAAGAAAGAGGTTGATGATGAACTGGTTTTACATTCGAATTCCAAATTTGTGAAGGAAATTCAATCAAAGTCTAAAACTAGTTTCAAGAAAAATCAAAGGTAAGTTTTTAAACAAATTTGTGTAGCATAAAAGCTAAGAAGCACTATGTCTCTCATATGCCATATCACAAGAGAAATAGGAACATCAGGAGTGGTTTAAGAAGGTCCCAACCAAAGTAAGGTGTCTTTGCTTACAAGTATAGAGTTCTGCACAGGTACCTAAATTCTGAAGAGCAAGTGAAGAAATATATGCCTAACCCAAGCCCAATTGCGAGTAAAAGGAGGTTCTCCCCCAAAACTGTTCCTAAAGGATACATTGTAACTGACAGCACTCCTAGAGAGGATTATCATACATTAGGAAATATTCTGAATATATCCAATGAGAATACCGATGATCAGAATAAACTAAAACTGAGTCCTACAAAGGAAGAAACTTCTAAGAAATCTGAGCAAGAAGAGAATTCAGTAGTTTATAAGTAAGCCATATGTCTTATTTGTTTAGAGAACAGAATGTAACTGAGTAAGAACATTTTCTGCTTGGGATAGCCTAAAGGTAGCAGCTAGATGGAGTATCTGGCTACCAAATTATGTTCCAAAATGATTTTGGGCAATTCTAATTAAACAATTTCACTTGGAAATTTTGATTTTGCTTTTAAACAATAATTGGTCTTACTAAAATTTAGCAATAGTTTAAAGAAGCTGAAATCATTTAGTCCCCCATCCAAGCAAATTAAGGGCTTATTTTGCAACTGAAAATTGGAGGATGGAATTCCTTATGCTTGCACCAATGGGCACAAGTGGATCAAGAGCCTCTTCAACGTGTATGATTATAAGCAGAATGAAGAGAGCTACTTAGCTCTAGTAGAAATTTCTAATAATCTAGAAATTGTGGATGAATCCACAGTTGATCAGATTACTAAGGATTTACGCAGAACTTTTCAGAAAATAGACATCTTCGTGAAACCAGAGATGAAGAACAAACTCTTCAGGGTCCTTAAAGCCCTTGTTGCATATGACCCATCCGTTGGGTACACCCAAGGAATGAACTTCATCGCTGCAGCTTTGATAGTTCACTGAGAAGAGAGTGTCACCTTCTGGCTCTGAACCGGTCTTTTTGAAAAATATGAAATCAGAGATCTCTATAGTGAAGACTTCGCAGGAATGTATGACAGAATTAATGTCTTTAAGAGCTACCTTAAGAGATATTTAGGAAAAATTCATGAAAAATTTGAAGAAGCTTGATTCCAACCCGAAATTTACATGATGGACTGGGTACTGACTTTCATGTGATCCTATATTCCTCTCAAATGGCTGGTAAGCAGTAGCCTCATAAGATATAGACTAATTACTTCGATGAGTTTTTCAAGCACGGATGGGTAGCCTTCTACTCTATTTGCCTTTCGATTCATGAATTCCTCCAACCGAGAATAATGAAGTGAGTAGATATAGGAGAGATGAAGGAATGTGTGAACAGAATGAAGGAAAACCGGGCCTCAATTTTGATAACTAAGGATTCGGAAAAATGTAGGATCCATGACCTCAGCACACAAGGTCCTAATAGTATATTCACCAGCCAGACATCATGTAATGATTTCACTGCATTCCAAAGAACTAGAGATGAAGATTGGAAGACGATTTTCGAGTTCTACGAGACATACATTGATCTCATCGTTAAGAAATAATTAATTACTTCAATTGTTAAATGGGTGTCCGGGGTTTTGGGGTTTTGGGGTTTTGGGGTTTTGGGGTTTTGGGG